TGAGAAACTTGAAGCTCTTTATATAACACAATCCTAGTCACCATATCTACCACAGTAACCTTTGAAATGGACAGTTAAGTCTACTTCTAAACATAGGCGGAGGGTGCAATTCTAGGCCCTGGCTTCATGAAGGAAGCCTGGTTTTGCTATGCAAACACTTAAGCGATTAATTATTTCTCTGTTACTGCAGGATATTAGAATCCTGGCCCTCACTGCTTGTTTCTGATCGTGACTTCCTGTGGTCCTTTACCTTCAGTTAGTGTTCTGCACTGTGGGTTTCTTCTCTCTCTGGCCAACAGATAGTCTAACCTTCAATGTCAGTGCAGTTAGGCATTTTTATAATAAAAAAAAAAAAAACACATGCTTCCATGTTTTCAGTGAAAGAGGAGGTTTTAGTATTTGCTCAGTCATCTACCTTATCTGTGAAACTAATCAAGGATAGGAACATGGAGCTAGAATTTAGCTAATGTAAAATACAAAGAAATCATGTGCATGTGATAAGAGTATTATTAATATTTAGGTATGATCACTACTAGTGAAGTTTAATATTTTCCTGTATCTTTGCTAACATGTTATAGTTTATCTTAATGAATTAACTTTTCATATCCTTTTCCCTATTCATCTGTTTGAAACTTGGTATTTTCCTAATCAGTTCTTATGAGCTACAAACGTAGTTCACTTTATTTATATTTTGACATTTAATTTGATTTTTTTACAATATGCAAAGTAGTTTATTTATTCAATAAAATCTGTTACTCTTCTCTGTGCTTTCCAATTTTAATACTGATTCTTTTTTTTTTTTTTCAATTAAAAAAAATTCCCTCTCTGTAGTAGACTCTAAGCTCCCTTAAGGTGGAGTCTGGCCCCCTAGCTTCTAGCACTGTGCTTGACACACATAGTTACTTAATGGATCAATCTCTTAAAATATCTGTGTTTCTCTGGGCATCTTCTTATAAAAGTCATGTTTTTTTTCCTAAATCACCATATAACAACAGGTAACTATTCCTCAGCTAGGTAAAACTATCTCCACAGCATAGTATCTTTCTTTACACATTTTCAGCACTCAGTGCATGTTTGAGTGATTGATGACTAGATTCATTCATTCATGCAATAATCAATTTCAAAGGAATAGTTTTGGTTTTCACCTAACATCTAAGTGGCAAAGCAAACTAATTGAGAGTCTCAAAGGGCCATGATTTCGATATTTGAGTAACTACAATATAAAACAAGAAGCCACATCTTTGACTGTTAATATCTATGATACGCACTCTCTTTTTTTCCTCTACCTTCCCTTCTTCATCAGATCTCATAGCCCACAGCAGGGAAAGCTTTGCCAGATCATCATCATCCCTGTCTGTTTGTTTCTACCAGGGTTCAGACCTGGGGAAAGATGTACTTTTCCTGATTCTTTACATAAAAAACACACTTTGAAAAAATTAGGAAATGATCTCAGTATGTTTGGGACAGGTCAAGAAGCAAGAAACTATTCAACACAGATCAAAACACTGAGCACTTATGTTTACCTAACTTTATTTTTTTTGCTAGAATGAAAACCTTATTAATGCAAATAATCCTCCTTATGCAAATGAACTTTTCACGAAATATGGTGTTTATCATGGTCACAGTGAAACAAGAATACATTGCTTGTGATTTCTTAAAGTTGCTATGGATTCTTGATTTTGAACTTGACTGTCAATCATTAGATTTTTTCTCTTATCCTATTGCATTTGCATACCTCAGAGAAAACACCACAGAAGTACAAAGGATAAAATTTCACTGGCATGTTGCAAAAGTTAGTTTTAACACAGATTGTAACTGAGAAACAAAAAATGAGACTTGAGACACAACTGAGATACGTTCTATTAATATTTAAATTGAGTTTATCATTGGATACATGTCTAGACTAGTTGACTCTTTTAAAGAATAAAGTATTTTTTACCTTACTGATGAGAATTTCTTCAATGACAGTATATAATTTTCTTTCTCTTTTGTTATTTTATATTTCTCTTGCTTCAATCCTCAAAATAGTCAATAGCTCCTTCTTATATTGAATAGAAGCCAAATTATTTATCATTGATTTCAGAGTCAGCTATAATTTGTTTCTCAACCATTTTTTCCAACATTATTCCTTTAAATAATAATCAAATTGACAATAATAATAGTGCAATTTTGTTGATGCTTATTTACAATATGCCATTATCTCTTTTTATCCCATTACATTCATTATCTCATTTAATTTTCACAGCAAACTTCATAGTAGCTACCATTTTTGAGATAAGGAACATAAGGCTCAAAAAGGACAGATAACTTGCCCAAGGTCAAATAGCCAGTATGAGTAATAGCTACTCTGTCTGATTCCAAAGATTGTGCATTAACTCCCATATTTTTGATAGCCAGGCTACATTGGCCTACATGTTATGACCTAAATATCTTTACCTCAAATGTTCATATGTTTTATTGTCTTTTTATTAACCCTGGATCTACTGATAAATGTATTCATCATTTTTAAAATATTTCAATGTTCTTTTCAAATGCTGAGAACGTCCATGCTATACCACCACTACAACCCAAATATTTTCTTTTATATATGCCCTTGGAATTTTGCTTGTATTTAGGTTGAGCTCATATTTCATTGTAATTATTATATTACTATTGCTTGCTTATAAGTTATAAGCAATCACCTTATAATCTCAGAAACTGGTCACATAAGAAAACCTCAGAATCACGTCCACTTAAGACCTGAAAAGAAGAGATCTTTGAGATGATCATTTCAACCCACCGTAGTTCACAAAATGGGAAAATGGACATCAGCAGAACTGATTATATAAGATTATACAGTTTATGAACTGCAGGGCTGGGGAGAAAAGTCAAGTCTCAACTACAGATCACTGTCTTTTCTTTCATATGCCAGAGTAATTCTCCCAAGAGATTTTCAAGAGACCATTCTCCTAAGCAAAGTATCTCAAGAATGGAAAACGACACCACATGTACTCATTATTAGATTGTAAGTAACCAATGATCACGTATGTGCACAGAGGGAAGTAAAAGTCAGTGGAAATCAACCGGGGGGGGGGAGGAGGAGAGGGGCAAAAAACTACCTAAAGGATACAATGAACACAATTTGGGTGATGGACACACCTATAGTTGGGACTCAAACATTACAAAACAATCCATGTAACCTAAAACATTTGTACCCCCTTAATTTTTTGAAAATTTAAAAGATTATGCAGTACCTGAATGTGAGGTCCATGAATGCTTCTGAGCTAGCCCCACGGCCTAACCAAAAGAGTATCCTTAGCTAGCTACATCTCTTAGATCTGGGTGATCTGGGCTTGGCACATTTTGACTCTAATTTCAATTTTTTTCCCATTAATTTGTAGTATCTTTCCATCCTACTTATCACTCATGTCGCTGTTTTTCTTCAAAATCAAATGAAAATGCAGCCACAAGTTAGACACAGAATCTGAGTAAGACATAGCTGGGTATGGGTGTCAGGTGAACCCTGTGTTGGACAAGGACTGTGGTTCAGGAATGGCAACTTTTTCAGACTCCTTTCCATAAAAGAATATGTGCTAAGAATTGTGGAGCATCTCATTGAACTCCCATGGCCTGTGGCCAATAGATAACCAAAAGTTGTTAGTTAAGCAAGATTTTCTTAAGCTAATCTTAATATACTTATCATATTCACTTGCTTCAGTCTTCCCAAAATATAAATTAACAATGCTATTTGGATTGCCGTTTTATAGTTAGCTGAATCCAATAAGTATTAAATAATATTTTGACAAGTGGTTTTCTCAGGTGAATAGTACTCTGACATTAAGCCACTGTCCACCATTGCCTCATGTGCTACTATTTCTAGTCAAGAAATTTTCCTTTGTGTAGAAAGATTCAGAAGAGAGTGTTCCAGATATAGCACAGCAAATATCTGACTTGCTTCATACAAATGGTGATCAAAATACTCTGAAGAGGAATGGTGCAGTTATAATAATGCTCACTAATCTACCTGCTAAGACCTCTAAAATAATATTTATTAGAGATTATCTGCAAATAAAATTTTATAATGGACATAATATTCACTTGCTCATTCTTTGTTCAATTAAAATAATATATACGGAAGAATTTGGAAAGTGAGCCAACAGCCTCTACAATATTGTGATTTCTATAAGATAATGTACCATTTATAGATTGAATCACTCATGAGATATGTCTCCAGTACAAATTTCTAAAAATATAGTAATACAAAAAAAAGGCCCTCCAACAGAATCAAATGTAATAACATTTTTACCTATGATTATTTATCTCTCTTTACCAAGAAGACATATGCATACACATACATGAGAAATAGAAGATATTTAATGATATAGAAATGTGCTGAGAAATTATTGGCCTTTTATTCACAAAAAATAGAATAATCTTAAGAAATACACATATATAGCATATAACTATATAGCATTATATTTATATCAATCTGGATTCTAAAATTTATATCAATCTGGATTATTTATATCAATCTGGATTCTAAAATTTTGTAGCAAGTTATTTTTCCTTAAACCTAATATGTTTATGGTAATTTTAATATGGATTTGGCATATACAAAATTTGAAATTTTTTAACTACTCAAGTGACTGAGTACTTGTCCTATGCTTAGTGCTGTGCTAGGCATTGAAGGTGCTATGAGTCTATACAAAGTATGAAACTTGCATTTAAAGAGTTTATCATCTAATTTTGAAAACTGTAGAGTGATTGTCTGAGATGGTCCCCTTGTGAGATGCCCCTACTAGTTTCACAGGGTAACAGCTTCAGAGTTCTTTTCTATAATATCAAAGTGGTTGTTGAAGTAAGGAAGTAGCTACATTAATTTCTGCAACAGGTTTCCATAAGATAGCTCTTTGGCTTCTTGAAAATAAGATTTCCATATTTTGTTTTAATTTCTATTAATATAAACAAAGTGCCTAAGAGTACACACAAAAAGGAAATTAACATTCTTTTTTTTTTTTCCAAACTGATGCAAAATATTTATTCCAAGTTAGTTATTTTATGCAGTAGTTTCCCCCCTCAACAGACCTGTGATAACCACATCTTTTAAATCTGTAAATAATGTTATCAAAATAATCTTAATCTTTGAAATCTCACAAAAATTTATATTTTACAATCCACCCTGAATATCAAGGCTGCAAGAATAACACAACATTTCTTATATCCAAATATTTTACAGCTGTACCCAAAAAGAAAAACAAAAAAACAACCACATACACTTGGTTAAGGGCTAAAGTTACCCGAGCAGCCAAAAATAAAATAAAATACCCAAATTATTAGCATTAATTTAATACAATTATAACTTCAATAGTCACTTTGTCATTGACAATGATTGCTTGAGCACAGGGGTGAGTGCCCCAAGGGCTGGTAGTAGAAGCTGTTGCTGCAGACCAGTGTCTCTTCTCTGCACTGCCAGCTCCCACCTGTGCATCGCCCCATATGTACTGTGTGTGTGTGTGTGTGTTAAAAATCTTTCCCACCACACAAACTTCTCTATTAAGCAGGTAACAGGGAAGAACAACAAAAGCTAAACAAGCCAATCGCTCTCTCTTTGGGATATGATTATTTCCCTTGTGCATGAAGTATTCAACAACGTAAGAAAAGAAAAGAACAATTTCTTTTGTATACTCCCTAAACAGAGTTTACTGGGTCAGATTTAACTGTGAGCATTTATATGCCTACTTCCAGGCATCGTCATCTGATGTTTCACTGCTACTTGTTTCCGTGTCTGAGTCCTCAAACTCTGCTTTACAAGTGCTTCTCCAAGGGGAGAACAGGCTGGAATTGCGGCTCTGCAAGAAGCCATTCTTTCCAAAGCCATTTCTTCTCAGCTGCTCTGTCTTCATGTGGAATTCTTTGAGCTCATCCTCTGTGAGGGGAAGGCAACTCTCATCATTTTCAGGATATTCCTGCCACCCCATTGCTTTCAATAACCTGTGCTCTGCTTCCAAAGAATGTGAGAGAACCTCCCCTTCTTCCACTATTGGGAGAGCAAGACCATTCTGATGACAGCCTTCCTCTCCGTTTTCCTTTGGTTCAGGTGTGCTGTCATCCTCCAAATCCTCCAGCTTGTCACAGTCTCTGTTTTCTGAGAATTCTCCATTCCGGTCATCCTTCAGAGTCTTCAGGAACTCACTCTTCTGTCAGTGGTTCGGCGGGTCAACTTGGTCAGGCGAGAGGAGCTGACTCACATTGGAGGGGTGGTGCTGGAGGGACTCTCTTTGGGAGAACTCAGAACTGCACCACCGCCAGCACCACTGGTTTGGTAACAGAGATTGGACTGGTAAAAGCACACTCCGGCTAGAGTAAGGGATCCTGTTTTGTGTTCCATTCTGTTAGCTTTCCTGCATTGGCTTAGAAGGAGGTGGTGCAGGCTTAGGAACCAGGTTCTTGTAGACACTTGGAACTATGGATGATGATTTATTCCCATTTGCATGGTGAATCCTGGTGAGGTGAATGCAGCAGAGAAGGCAGCAGCAGGATCCTCTTGGATACTTTTTTGATAACTATCATTTGGAGGGTTGCTTGGCACTAGGTGGGTTTTCCATACTCCAGAAGGGTCCAAAAGGTCTGCATGGCTGATTCTGTTTGCCAGCTCTGGATTCAAAGAAGAAAGTCTTCTTCTTCAAACTGCAATTTCACCCTTGTCTTCTTTCTTTTCTTCCCTAATCTCGTAGGTGGCCTTTCCTGAAAGGAACAGCCTTTCGGATGGAAGCTGCCATTCCAATGGCGATGGTTCCCTGTGCCACCTCCACTACGCTGGCTCATAACATCGTGACCTCGGGAAGAGCCATACCAATAAGATGGGTTCCCTGTGATTCCAGCATATGCTCCCTTAGAGACACCAGAGTCCACAGAATCATGGTGCCAGGAATCTCCTGTAGTTCGTAGGGGTCCATTGTTAAAAGCCATCAGAGGAATTATGTCGACGACGGCTTACTCCAATCTACCTTCTCCTCGGGTAGTGCTCTCCGTGTTTCTCGGGCAGAGGAGGTTGCGAGTAGGTGACGTCTAGCTGACTGTGGCTGTGTGAGGAAATGTTGTGCGGGGGGAAGACAGGAACAATATCATGCTGGCGCGGATTGTGGTGCGTGGCAGTGGTCTCTTTTCAGCAAGGTGAGGATCCAACTCATGGCCCAGATCCCAGAGAATAACCTCTGTGGTCCTGTTTCCTGAACTCCTGGGGTCTGCCAGCTGGATCTCTCACGAGGTTTTCTTGTTAAAAGGGTGCTTAAAGTAACCTGGTCAGCAGCAGGACTTACGATGAAGCACAAAGCAGCCAGACTCTGTGTGGATCACTCTCTCAGTCCCCTTAATTATTCATCTTAAACTACCTAGTTCCTGACACGTTTCCAAAAGGGGGAAGGGGGAAGGGGGAAAGGGGAAGGGGAACATAAAAAATATTTGTTACATTTAAAAAAGGGGGGAAAGGGGAAAGAGCTATGTCTATGTTCACCTCATTCAACTTCCTTGAGTTAGGGCACTATGATGTTGCTTAATTAAGTGATACATGGACATTTGCACAGTGAGTACAAACACTGTTCATAACAAGGTCATAGTTAGAAAGACAGGTGTGGGTTCAAGTACGGGCAAGTAATGTTATCAAGATGATAGATCAAAAATATAATACAAAGCCCTATAAAAGATACGAGGAGTCAATTCCAATGGCAAAACATCCACATGACAAAGCCCTTAAAATACAAATTTCATTATTCTTACTCATGCAACTGCTAAAAATAGCATGCAGATGTATATTTGTCTTAACCTTCAAAATTTAAGGACATTAGAATTCTTGTCTTTAAAAAAAAACAAAAAAAAAAAACAGACAGGAACTTGATACACTTTTCCCTCCAGGGAATAGCAACTTTCAAGGCAAGTTTCTTGGTATAAAGCTCCTAAATGTATATTCTATTTCTTTGGTCTTTATTTATAAATTCAGAGCAAGGGTAAAACAAGTAGAAAGATAGGGGATAAGCATAGTCAAAGAGAAAGATAATTCCAAAATGAGGTTTTCTTTTCTTCAGTTTCCTGTATTTCACTTGTTCTGTCCCTTCCTGAAACTGAATTTAGCTACTGGAAGGTGATATGAAGAGTCTTCTACTGCTTTGGTAGAGAAGTCACTTATTATTTTTGATCCATTTCCATCTTCATTCAATCATTTAAAAGGCCACACAGATCACTCGGGCAGCGGCCGGGCTATGGCCAGGGACGAGACGCGGAGTCTGAGGACTAGTCCCAACTTCTCGACCCGGCAGAGGCGGTTAGCCCACAACCATAACAAAGCTCTCCGGAAATTAACATTCTTTATCACATTTTCCATCAAATCTTGCACAGAACTGATTTATACATAGTTCATAAAAATAAACATCACTTGTACAATTAAAGTGGGAAATAATCACTTTTGAATTTAACAAACAATAGTTAATTAAAATATTGAAACATTTATAATTTTAACCTTTCATTGCAGTATTATCATTTGTGACACATGAGCCACATATGCTTTTCTGTCTTCCGATCAATGTTTCCAATTTGAATAGCCAGTTAGCCCTTAGTAATTAGTGCATTTCATTATTTCTTGATTTTTAAAAAATCGTAAAGGATACACACAAATCAATGCAAATTGGCTATGAGCTAATCATCTTATTTTACATAATATAACAGTAGAAGAAAAATCTTCAGTGACATATAGAGAAAAAAAGTAAAAGGCCAAAGGAAAATAATCTGTCAGTGATTACCAATAAGGTCTTTTCCAAAGTTGTGTTCTTCAGATCTTATTTTATGGGAATCTAAGATGTTTTAATATATAAAAAAGAAAAAGACAAGAAAAATTAAGAAAACAAAGGTCTTCCACAGCAAAATAAGTTTGTAAACACTGCAATACATTTCTAAGACTTTATAATGCTAATATACCAATATATGGGAAAGTTACAGCGTGAAACAAAATACTGGGAGTGCAGGACCCCCTTTCCACCCTCTGTTAAAGCAATAATTAGCAAGTAATATAAAGGGCAGAGGTTGGCAATCTTGTTCTATAAAGGATCAGATATATTTTGGCAGGCCTTATGGCTTTATTCTCAGCTATTCAACTCTGTTGATGTAGCATAAACACAGTTAGTCATAGACAATATGTACAGGAATCAGTGTCACTGTTCTGTTAAAACATTATTTATAAACAGTAACATCTGAATTTTATACAATTTTTGCATGTCACAAAAATTATTCCTCATTTGACATTTTATTTTTTATTTTTAAGTTTTTGTATTTAAAACATATGGGGGTACAACAATTCATATGTATAGATATAGATATAGTTATATGTACACACTAGGAGTTTACTACAACTTTTGTGTGTATATTTTGTGTGTTTACACACAGTAAGTTTTTTTCTTTTCATTAAGTATAATCAATGTAACCAATTTATTGAGATGTTTCAACTCAATAGGGAATAAATATAAAGTGGTTTTTTTTTTTTAACCATTGCTTTTAATTTTTGACTTCCATCCATAAATTTTATCTAGGTTAGATTCCACAATTTCTGGGTCACTTTCAGCCCAATATAGTTTGCAATTTCAATCTCTAATTCAACTCAAATCTGATTTCATCTCCTTTCTTTGCCCCACAGCAGGCCATATGTTTATTTCCCACGATACAACCTTTAGGCAGACTCAGGGATATCACCTCTTTCTCTGTTTCCTGAGTATGGCTTCCTTAGGGTGAAAAACACAAGAAGGGACCAGTGAGCCAGGAGTCACCTGTTGATGCATAGAAAGCATCCCTGCTTTTGCTGTGCTTTGGTCTGTTTTCATCTACTGGTGGCTTCTTTAGTATTATAGTCTTTTCATAGTTAATGTATGTAGTTTCCTTTGGGTGTTCTTCAGCCTTATCCAAGCTCTTTGGACTCATAGATTCTCCTCAAAGAGGGAGACTCATGTCTCTCTTTGACCTCTGTGAAAGTATGCTTGCAAGCCCTTACAAGCATACTTACCACCAGTCCTTTCTCTAAATAGGACATCTCTTGAATGGGTGTCTGTCTGAGTCACCTAGTGGAAGCTGCTCCACATCTGTTCTTTGTGTTCTTTTACCCACAGCCACGGGAACTGTTGAGGACCTTTCTAATGCTATCTTAGCACTCCATATCCTTTCTTGCTTACTTTTCCCTGTCCCATTAGCCTATAGTCATTTCTTGCCTGATTAGTATTGATCAGTATTCTAGCAACTCTTTCACCTTGAGAAATTTCCAGACAAATAGTCATCAGTTTTTATGTTCATGTGTGTACCCAAATTCTAGGATATCATGTGAAATTCTATCAAGAATTCCCTTGAAACATTCATCTCACTTGCTTGGCAGTGCCAGATGGCCCTGAAGATTCTTCAGTTCAGCAAACTTTCATTTGCAGAGAAAGGTGGCAGTATTTCCTTCTAATAGACACTGCCTATCTTTATGATAGAGTTTCTTGCAGCCTCCCCTTACTTGGCTACCAGGAAAAAAGAAAATAGCTGCCTTCCTCCACCCCCGAAGAAGTAAAAGAGAAAAAAAATCTAACCATAAACGCCACATTCCTCACAAGGCCAATGACACTGTTGACTTTCCCCTTACTTTTTACTGTCTTCTGTTAAAGATGGGTGGGGTGGTGGTGAGGAGTAAGTAGGTGATTGTTTATATAGGACATAAAATGCTGATCTTTAATGATGCCACAAAGCTGATGTCTGACAATCATTTGCAGCTATCTTTAGTATGTGCAGTAATTAGAACCTCTTTGTCTTTATCCTCATGTTACTTTCTATTCGTCAGTTCAAGGGCAAAAGGAAAAGTTTTAGTTCAAATTCTATTTTGATTTGAGACTATCCTTGTGTTTAATTTACTGTTCCTTTAATAACGTCTTGTGATGGAGGCTTAGGCCTAATATAAACTCATGTTTTGATGTATAACTCTTTTTTCGCAAGCTATATATCCTATAAAGGGCTGATAACAAGAATCTATTTAGAACTCAGGAAAATCAGCAAAGAAAAATCAATCAACCCTATCAAAAAGTGGGCAAAGGACATGAACAGAAATTTTTCAAAAGAAGACAGACTAATGGCCAACAAACATGCAAAAATGCTCAACATTTATAATCATCAGGGAAATGCAAATCAAAACCATAATGAGATATCACTTATCTCCAGTAAGAATGGCCTTTATCAAAATGTCTCAAAACTATAAATGATGGCATGGATGTGGAGAGATAAGAACACTCCTACATTGCTGGTGGGACTGCAAACTAGTTCAACCTCTGTGGAGAGCAATATGCAGATACCTTAAAGTGATACAAGTGGATCTACCATTTGATCCAGCAATTACATTACTGGGCATCTACCCAAAAGATCAAAAGTCACTTTATGGAGCTGGATCAAGATGGGAGATGAGAAAAACTGCCAGACAGAGTGTCTCTGCAGAAAAAACAGATTCTAGCAGAAATTAGAAGAAAGAAGCAAGCAGGCGAACATATATCGGATGAGGCTCGGAAGGAGGGGTACCTGAGACAACAGGAGACTCCATGAGAGGAGGTTGCAGAGGAGAACTGAAAGCAGAGACCTCTGGAGCAGCCTGGAGAACAGTGGCAAGGGTAGGCGCAGCGATTAACTCTCCCCTCCCTTGCATTTCGGACTGCTGGCGGGCTCCCCAAGGGTGGAGAGCCCTGCGGACACCAGCCCAGAGATGGCCACCACCAGTGAGCGGTAAGCCTGTAGCAGACGCAGCACCAGGCTCCCAACTCCTGCAGGGCCCTTCCCTGTGCACAGACCCGAGCCATGCAACAGGTGCCATATTGCCTCCTTCTCCCCTCCCCCAACCCTATCCGCAGCTGCTGCGAGACACAATATAGCCAGCAGCTGGAGGCACCTCCAGGGAACAGGACTTTCCTTTTTGTGGCCCTACAGCTGACTGAAGGGAAATCAGATGGTGAGCTTCCTACCCGCCAGCACTCCCAGGTGCTGCTGGCATGGTGATCCCAGGATAACTTGGCAGACCCTGAGGCTGAGAGATATAGACCCAGCTTGGGCTCCCCATGGGGGAATTGAGATTTGCACTCCTTTCCCTGGTTGGGGATATAGGTTGAACTCTGGGATCCAAAGGTCAGACCTGCAGACCTGATCCCGTGCACCAAGGTCTCGCATAGCCAGAGACACAGAAGGGATATATGAGAACAGCCTACTGAGGTGTGTGTGTCTTCAGTGGTAGATCAGCGTCCTAGAGGGCAACCCTCCTCCCAAAGGGAGGCCGTCGGCCCAGCCCAGGTGGCATTCCTGAGTAGGGAACCTCCTGGCCAGCATAACAGCCAGGGGAGGCCTGGTGGCGGGAGGTCTAGCCTGCTAGCAGAGGCCCAGCAGTAGCTGTGGAGTTGAGGAGGGTGGAAAGAAGCGAGTCCCGGTCCAGACTGCAGGTCTTAGCTCCACCCCCACACGTAGACTTTCTGACTGAGCAGGGCCATTACAGCCCCTCCTTGGCAGCTTTTCTTGGAAACAGAAATCAGAACTTTGACCCCTGCTAACGACATTGGCAGTGCCTAAGGGCAGGCTTACCCAAACCAGCTCCCCCCAGACTCACACCCAGACCGGCCCTCACTGAGAGGGAGAAATGGACACACCTGGAAATCCCGGGGCCCCACCGACCACCTGAGGCACTAGAGTGCCTCTCTAGAGGAAAAAGAGCTGGCCACAGGTTACAAAAACAACAGCATAGCCTGTTCCTCCAAGCAAGTGCCATCTACTGACAGGGAGGACACCCTGCACACCCTTTTGACTGCACCTACTTACTCATTATACAGGGAGTGGTCGAATATCACCCTCAGACACCACCTACCAGATCAGAAACTAAACAAGGCATGTGAATACCCCAACAAAAACCTAAAGGAAAGAAGCAACAACTGATCGACATAGGAAGAAGTCAGTGAAGGAACTCCGGAAATATGAAGAACCAAATGGAAACCACACCCCCAAAAAGGAGCACCAGCCCCTTAGAAATGGACACCAACCAAAATCAGGCAACCAAAATGACAGAAGATGAATTTCGAATGTGGATCATCAGAAAATTTAATGACCTGCAAGAAAAACTCAATAAACAACACAAAGAAACCACAAAAAACCTCCAGGACCCAGAAAGAAAATTCACTAAGGAATCCACACAATGAAGAAAAGTTTAACCGAACTCCTGGAAATGAAGAGTCAATTCAGGGAATTATAGAATTCAGTGGAAAGCCTCGAGAACAGGGTAGATCAAACAGAAGAAAGAATCTCAGAGCTTGAAGATAACACCTTCCAATTAAATAAATCAGTCACAGAAATACAGCAGAGAAACAAGAGAAAAGACCAAAGCCTACAAGAGCTGTGGGATTATGTGAAAAAACCTAACGTGAGGGTCATAGGTTTAGCCGAAGGGGAAGAAGAAAACACTCAAGGGTTGGACAAGCTGTTTGAAGATATAATAGAGGAAAATTTCCCAGGGCTTGCTCAAAATCTAGATATACAAGTTCAAGAAGCTCAGAGGACCCCTGGGAGATTCAATGCAAACAGGAATACGTCATGACATGTAGTCATCAGACTGACCAAAATATCAACTAAAGAGGCCCTTCTAAGAGCTGTAAGATGAAAGAAGCAAGTAACATACAAGGGAAAGCCAATTCGAATAACACCAGACTTCTCCACTGAGACTTTACAAGAAAGGAGAGACTGGGGCCCCATTCCTACTCTTCTGAAGCAGAACAATGCCCAGCCTAGAATCTTATTCCCTGAAAAACTAAGGTTTGTATATGAAGGAGAAATCAAGACATTCTCAGATAAGCAAGACTGAAGGAATACACCAAGGCAAGACCAGAACTTCATGAAGTACTCAAAACAGTGTTACACACGGATCAGCACAATAAACACTCACGAACGTAAAGCTACTCAAAACCAAATATCAAAGCCCAGACACTAATGGCTCAAGAGAGACAACAAAGCAACAAAGTTTCTCCCAACAAAATGAACAGAAATTTTCCCCACCTATCAGTTATCTCAATAAATGTGAAAGGCTTGAACTCCCCACTCAAGAGACATAGGCTGGCCAAATGGATAAAAAAAAAAAAAAGCCAAGTATATGCTGCCTTCAGGAAACACATGTAACATGCAAGGATGAAATTAGACTAAAGGTAAAGGGGTGGAGAATGATATTTCAAGCAAATGGAAGCCAAAAGAAAGATGGCATGGGAGTGCTGATTACAGATAACTTAATTTTTAAATCAACAAAAGTAATAAAAGACAAAAAGGTCACTATATAATGGTGAAGGGTACAGTTCAACAAGAAGACATAATAATTCTAAATATATATGCACCCAACTTTTGTGCACCCAGATGCATAAATGAAACTCTACTTGATCTAAACAAATGGATAAACAACAACACCATAATAGTTGGAGACTTTACCACCCGAATGACAGCACAGGACAGATCCTCCAAACAGAAAATCAATAAAGAAATAATGGACTTACACAGAACCCTAGAACAAATGAGGCTGACTGACATTTACAGGACATTCTACCCCCAAACCACTGAATATACATTCTTCTCATCAGCTCATGGGTCATTCTCTAAGATTGACCATATCCTAGGACACAACGCACGTGTCAAACAATTAAAAAAAATAGAAATTGCACCATGTATCTTTTCAGACCACAATGGAATAAATGTAGAAATCAAGCCTAACAGGAGTTCTTATTTCTACACAAATTCATGGAAACTAAACAGCCTTATGCTGAATGATCACTTCAAAAAGGAGGAAATCAAGATGGAAATGAAAGGGTTCTTTGAACTACATGACAAAGAAGACACAAGTTACTAAAACTTGTGGGACATAGCTAAAGCAGTCCTGAGAGGAAAGTTTATTTCAATAAATGCCTATATCCAATAGTCGAAAAGATCACAAATAGACAACCTAATGAATCATCTCAAAGAGCTGGAAAAAGAAGAACAGACCAACCCCAAACCCATCAGAAAAAG